TTTGTGTTACTTATGGGAAGTGGTAAATAGTCCTACTTTGCAAAGTATTGGTAAAGACTGAGTACACATTGGAAACAATTAGCCCAATTAGCAGCCAGTAGCGGCACAGGTATAGTCAGTCACTACACATTGCATATTCCATGGCAGGCATATGTCTACTAATTTTATATCTTTTTATACACTTTTTTTCTTTACTTCCTCTGTAAAGCAGATTGTAATGTTGTGAGAGGGCCGCTTTAAATATATAGCTTGATTTGATTTGTTGTTTTTGTAATCATAGCTAGCTAGCATGATTTATGCATCTGGTTAAATCCCACTAAATCCTACACTGGTCTTTTCAGGTTGAATTGAACTCACCACACCTGGTTGAAATGAACCAAACTGAATTGTGTTAAATGACATTAAAGTTGTGGAGACCATGTCATGGAGACGAGAGTAAAAAACCAAGTTGATGGGAGTTCAAGATCATATTACATATGTAGATAATTATTTATACATGGCAATAGAGGGATTTTGATGCGCTTGTTCATTTTAGTGACTGCAAGTGGTAAAATAGCAGATGAAGCGAAAGAGGAGTGCAGGCTCTATGACACACACACACGCACGCACACACGCACACACACATAGACTGTTTATCAAGAACAATACTACGTTAATACCTGCAAAGAGCTGATGCTTTGATGTAGCATCAGTTAGAGGAGCAGCCCAGATTTTGTAATCTGCCCGCTGTGTTCATCCTCCAAAACCAAAAACCCTTACTCAGCAGTTCAAACTATGGAGTCAGCATTTATCCTCTCAAGCATTCTCAGTGGACTCTAAGATTTCAGATTAGCAGCACTGGAGTCATGTCTACTCATACTTTTTGTTTTTTCTGATCTTTATCAACCTGTCAAGTGGTCATTTTCCATTTGATTCCCACTGAGTATCACTAAAAATGTCTTTGACACACAGCGGTGCATGTGTTGTGTATTTGTTTTCCATAAAGTTTCAGCTCTCTCTTCCTGCTCTCTTGTGCCAAAAGCTCATTCATCTCGTCTAATGCCAGGCTCCAAGATTTCACTTACCTTGAAATTCAGGTTCCTCAAAGTCTTTTAAATCCACATCTGATGTCATCTTGCTGTTGTTTTATTCCTGTGGTGGAAAAGTGGCCATGAATCTCACAGGGTGCTCTGGTCTGATGCCGGGCCAGTTAGTTCTTCTACTCGAGCCGACCATCTGTCAGTGTTAATGAGAGCTGGGATACTCAGTCACTGGTGTCTCTGTCCCTGACCAGGTCCTGGCAGGAGTTTTGGACAGGCCAACTTGGAGCATAGTGAATCAAGTTGATTATGAATGAAGTTTTGTTAGCTGTGGTTCTGTAATAACTGTTATTTACCGTTTACCACCGTATTTACCGTTATAACCATTATTTTTTTGGTTCTTTTTCCTTCTATTTAACATGAAATTTCCAAAAGAGCAGAGCATTTCAGGAGGAATATTCCAAACAAGGAAAGTCAGAGGATTTCAGCAGTTTTTCATCTGCAGCCACCTTGGCCCATAGGCTATGAATAAACAGTTAATTTCATTCAGCTGATGAGTGATGTGTGAAAGCGCTGTGCATGCGCAGATCCAAATGCGAATACTCAATGCGCTGAACAAATACAAACGTCCAAATGAGTAGTCATGCACATCCCTGGTACGAACTTGAGGTTTTACTAAGTATTTTAGTTTGTGGAGATATCCAAGTTTCTCCACTGCTGACATACCAACCAGCCCTGATCATTAAGGAGACAAAGGGCTTTGTCCAGGTGGAGATGGTCCATACGTGGTTCCTGCCAAAA